GCACGCGCCACCATGCCCAGCTAATTTTTTGTATTTTTAGTAGACACGGGGTTTCACCATGTTGACCAGGATGGTCTCGATCTCTTGACCTCGTGATCCACCCGCCTCGGCATCCCAAAGTGCTGGGATTACAGGCTTCAGCCACCGTGCCTGGCCGCCTCCTTTTTCTTATAAGGACACCAGTCACTGGATTTTAGGCCCACCATAAATCCAGGATGATCTCATCTCTAGAACCCTAACTTAATTACATCCACAAAGACCCTATTTCTAAGTAAGATCATGTTTACAAGTACTGGGATTAGGACATTAATATCTTTTGGGATGACACAATTCAGTACACCAACACATTCTTTATTTTACTATGTTCTTTAAAAATCAGATTTTAGGCCTGGTGCAGTGGCTTATGCCTGTAATCCCAGCACATTGGGAAGCCAAGGCAAGCAAATCACTTGAGGCCAGGGTTCGCGACCAGCCTGGTCAATATAGCAAAAACCCATCTTTACTAAAAATACAAAAATTAGCCAGACATGGTAGTGGACTCCTGTAATCCCAGCTACTCAGGAGGCTAAGGTATGAAAATCAAGAATTGCCTAAACCCAGGAGGTAGAGATTGCAGTGAGCCAAGGTCACGCCACTACACTCCAGCCTAGGCGACTAAGTGAGACTCTGTCTCAAATTTTATTTTTATTATTTTTTTTTAAAGACCAGGTTTCACCATGTTGTCAGGCTGGTCTTGAGCTCCCGACCTCAGGTGATCCGCCCACCTTGGCCTCCAAAGTGCTTGGATTGCAGGCATGAGCCACTGCGCCCGGCCTCTGTTTCAAATTTTTAAAAAAATCACATTCTAATGGAATATAAATGTTAAAAGCTTGGCTGGGTGCAGTGACTCACTCCTATAATCCCAGCACTTTGGGAGTCCGAGGTGGGCAGATCACCTGAGGTCAGGAGTTCGAGACCAGCCTGACCAACATGGAGAAATCCCGTCTCTACTAAAAATACAAAATTAGCTGGTTGTGGTGGCGTATGCCTGTAATTCCAGCTACTCAGGAGGCTGAAGCAGGCGAATCGCTTAAACCCACGAGGCAGAGGTTGCGGTGAGCCAAAATCACACCATTGCACTCCAGCCTGGGCAATAAGAGCAAAACTCCGTCTCAAA